AGGAGAGTTTGAACTAGAAGCAATAAAAGGGATAGGAGTTTAAACTTAAGCAGGGGAAATCTGTTCACAACGTTATGTAGGGAAAGCTCGAAAGGTTTGCAAGGGCGAGCAAAAATGAATTTGGTTGGATGGTGGCGAAGGAAAAACACGCGGGTTGGTATGCAAAGAGCGCGATAAATAAAGTATAACACGTGATGGTCGATGGGGTAGTTATACTGGTTGCGGAGGAAATTGAGAAACGCACGAATGTGGACAGAGCAGAGGGAGGAAAACGGGAAGAAAGAAGGAGGAGTACAAAAAAGGGGAGAGTAACATTCTCATCAAAAAGAAATAAAAGCTTATCTCCCGTTCAGAATCGTTCTGTTTTATCAATCTTATTATGTCGACCCCTCTGTAGTGGTTCTGAAAACACTAACATTAACATAGCAATAACTTGGAAGCCTTCCAAGTCTTTTTAAATAATGATGCCTTGCGTGATTGAGAGCCTAACCGCTGTGTGTCAACCCGAAGCCTTTCGCCAGATTAAAGTGAAAGTAGACTTCCGGAGACTATAACACACTGTCTCGCCGCTCCCACACCGAGACCTAATGTCAAGACAGAGTTCAGAAAAATAGATGTCCCGCAGGGGGTTAGCCTGACCAAAACTCAACACGAGTACCAACACCACTTTGCTTTGGAGGCTCCCTTGTACGCAGGCGCTCAATAGAGACCGCTCTGACAAGAAGCCATTGAGTTTGACTCTCAGTCCGCAGTTAGTCACTCTACACAACAATACACGCACTAGGCCGACTGCCGTGTCCAAGTAATCTTGTCAGTTGGCAAACCTCCAAGCCACGGCTTTTAGCGACTTTGTATCATTTGCAAAGGTTCTGAAACTACTAGCAATTACATAACAAACACCGTCTAAATTGTAAAAGGAGTTTGGGCAGTGACTAATGTGAATACTTTGAATCTTTTACCATCCAAACGCTTACGTCGCTACTCTTCTTGAAAAGTGATGCTTCGAGTGACTCATACCCTTACTTCTGTGTGCGCACGACTGATGGGATCCCCTGACACTGTTTGCATGTGACGCTAATCTTGTCATTTTGTGTGTGCGAAAAAAGTGCAGACGGCAATTGTTTTGCAAACGGCTTAGCAAAGCCTCACCCAGATGAGATATTGTAGTAATCGGATGACCGCATCATGAGTTGGGCTACCCTTAG